GGTGCTACCGCTGGCAGTGGTGTCGTAGGAACTGTCGTTAGTACTGGCCTCGACGGAGACGTCGGAGCTGGCGTCGGTACTGGCTGCAACTCTGGCGTGGGTAGCGGCATGGGTGCAGGCGTGGGTGTTGACGCTGGCTGTGCTGGCGTAGGAGCTGCACGGAAAAGGCCATAACCTGAGTTTGGTCCCGAAATTCTGGATTTCGGACCAAAAGTCTGGTTCTGGACCCCACGGGGCCCTCCTGGCGCAGACGTCGGAGCTGGCGTCGCTGCTGGCTGCAACTCTGACGTGGGTAGCGGCGTAGGCGCAGGCGTGGGTGCTGCCGCTGGCGGTGCTGTCGCAGGAGCTGTCGTCGGTGCTGGCCTCGATGCAGACGTCGGAGCTGGCGTCGACGCTGGCTGCAACTCTGGCGTGGGTACGGGCGTAGGCGCAGGCGTAGGTGCTGACGCTGGCGGTGCTGGCGTAGGAGCTGTCATCGGTGCTGGTCTCGATGGAGACGTCGGAGCTGGCGTCGATGCGGCCTGCAACTCTGGCGTAGGTACCGGCGTAGGCGCAGGCGTGGGTGTTGACGCTGGCGGTGCTGTCGTAGGGGCTGGCGTCGGTGCTGGCCTCGATACGGACGTCGGAGCTGGCGTCGAAGCTGGCTGCAACTCTGAGAGACGATGATGCCGAGGAGAGGTCTGTAGGTCACCAGGCTTCGGCGGGCCTGAAGGCGCCGCCGAGCGAGTGGCCATACAGGGAGCGCAGGAGTGGCTGATTGTGGTGCTGACGTCTCTTGCGGCCGTCGGAGCTGTCGCTGGCAGTACTGGCGTCGCTGCCGTCGATGCTGACGTCGGAGCCGCCGCTGGCAGTGGTGGCGTCGCTGCCGTCGATGCTACCGTCGGAGCCGGCGATGCTATCGATGCCTCCGTCGGAGTCTGTGAAACTGCGGGCGGAGCCGTCGTCGCTGCCGTCGATGCGGCCGTCGGAGCCGACGATGCTAACGATGCTGACGTCGGAGCCGGCGGTGCTAACGATGCTGCCATCGTAGCTGACGATGCTAGCGATGCTAGCGGTGCTGCCGTCGGAGCCGTCCTCGCCGCCGTCGATGCTGCCGTCGGGGTCGGCGAAACTGTGGTCGTTTCTGCCGTCGGTGGGAGCGTCGATGCTGACCTCGGCGCCGGCGCCGGTACTGCGTCGTCAAGGTCGTCGTGGTCGTCGTCGTCTCCTCCTCCTCCTGCGGGGCGGGGTGAGGGAGGGGGCGAGGATGGTGCCGAATCCGTACCCCTCGCTGGCGTCGAGGCTGACTGCAGTGCCGTCGTCAGAGCTGGCGTCGATGCTGTCTGCGGAGCTGGGGTTTGGTCCGTCGTGGACGTGGGCGTGGAGGCTGCCGAGGACGATGCTGACGTCGATGTTGACGTCGATGGGGCCATAGGCACAGACGCTGGTGTCGGCAAGGCGGACGGGTCATGGCATGACAGGACGGCCCCTCTAGCGTCAGGTGCACCTGAAGGCAGCACCCTCGCCAACGGCCCTGGGCGAGGCGTCAGGACAGAGGATGTTGAAAGGCCCGTCGAGGCTGGCGTCGATGCGGTCGGCAGTGCTGTGCGCGATGCTGAGGTCGATGCAAGGACGAGCATGACGACGGCCGAGATGGTGGCCCGTTTGGGGCGGGCCAGGCCCGCCGTGCCCTTGAAGCCGCAGGCGGAGCCGAGGACGCCGAAGAACGCGTAGCCGACCTTGACGGCCCTTGTGGGGCGGGCTGGGCCCGCCGTGCCGGCGGAGTCGACGATGTGCTTGACGACGCTCCTGGTGCCCTTGCCGATGGTACGCAAGACCGTACCGACGGTGCCGAGAGCGATGCCGAAGGTGGAGCCGAGGCCGTACCCGAAGTTCAGCAAGATAATGCCGATGAAGTTGAGAGCGGTGCCTGCGGTGCCGCGGGAGCGCTCTCGGGGGGAGGTTGGGGGCCGACTGCTTGTCACGCACGGCGCGACGACGGCAGGCGTGGGAACAGCCCGACCGCACTCAGCACCGTCACCCTCAGCAGTCGGGAGCCCGACCCCCCCCTGGATACCTGGCCGTACCGAGGTGTGCAGGTGCTGGACGGAGTCGTCTGTGTTGGCGTCGGTGCCTGGTAGGTGAGCGCGGAGGTCGGCTCGGTAGGCGCGCAGCTCGGCGCGCAGGTGGAACACGTCGTGCCCGAGTATACGTAGATCTTCGTGAAGATCCGCACGCGGCACGTGTGGGGCGTGTCCAGGTGGTACTGGGAGGTCGCGCCCGTGCAGGACGGGCACGCGGAAGACAAGGTCCTGGTGCCTATGTTCAGTAACATGGCCAGGCAGCACAGGTAGTACAGCATGGTGAGACGTGAAAGTGCGGTGACGGCCTGGCGCAGACAGGGGGGCCATGGCGGCGGTCGCACTGAGGAAGTGATGAGACGCAAATCAGTACCGCGCTGCTGGCGCGGTTCCGGTCTCGCGAGGCCTGGAGTCGGGACTCCAGAGCGGGGCGCTTCGCGTCGCGGCTACGCTATGAGTGCAGGGCACTCTCGAGCCGAGACTAGAGAGAGAGAGAGAGAGAGAGAGAGAGAGAGACAGAGAGAGAGAGAGAGAGAGAGAGAGAGAGAGAGAGAGAGAGAGAGACAGAGCAGAGAGAGAGATATATAGATATATATATAGAGAGAGAGAGCAACAGAAAGAGAGAACTAATGCGAGAGAGAGAGAGAGAGAGAGAGAGAGAGAGGGAGGGAGAGAGAGAGAGAGAGAGAGAGAGAAACAAAAAAGAGGAAGAGAGAAAGAGAGAAAGAGAGAGAGAGAGAGAGAGAGAGAGGCAGAAAGACAAACAAAAGAGCGGGGAGAGAGAGAGAGAGAGAGAGAGAGAGAGAGAGAGAGAGAGAGAGAGAGAGAGAGAGAGAGAGAAAAACAGAGAAAGAGAAAGAGAGAGAGATAACATTTTAAACATAAAGATATATATAGAGAGATAGCAAACAAATAGAGAAAGAGGCAAAGCCACATCGAGAACACTATATAAATAGACTCAGAAAGGGACAGAGCAACAGGGAGGTAGAGAGAAAGAGAGAGAGAGGGAGAGAGCGAGAGCAACATACATCGGGAGACAGATAGTGAAAGAGAAGGTGAGATATATATATAGAGAGAGAGAGAGAGAGAGAGAGAGAGAAAGAGAGAGAGAGTCCGAGAGGGAGAGAGAGAGAGAGAGAGAGAGAGAGAGAGAAAGAAAGAAACAAAAAAAGAGGGAGAGAGAGAAAGAGAGAGGGATATAGAGAGAGCAAGAGCGAGAGCGAGAGAGAGAGAGAGAGCGAGAGAGAGAGAGAGAGAGAGAGAGAGAGAGAGAATGAGAGAGGGAGTGGGAGAGAGAGGGAGAGAGCGAGAACACATCCAGAATGAGGATACTATCGAGGAGAGATAGAAGGAAATATTGAGGGAGAAGACAAGCCAACACACAACAACATAAAGACAAAGAGAGAGCGAAAGAGAGAGAGAGAGAGAGGGCGGGAGAGAGAAAGAGAGAGCGACTGAGAGAGAGAGAGCGACTGAGAGAGAGAAGGAGACAGAGACAGAGAGAGAGATGCGAGAGAGAGAGATGCGGTGAGAGAGGAGAGAGAGAGAGAGAGAGAGAGAGAGAGAGAGTTTGAGTGCAGGACAGAGAGAGAGAGAGAGAGATTGAGAGAGAGCGAGAGAGAGAAAGAGAGAGAGATAGAGAGGGGGAAAAAACAGAGGGGAGATAGACAGAGAGGGAGAGAGAGAAAGAGAGAGAGAGAGAAATAAAGAAAGAAAGAAAGAGAAAAAGGGGGGACGGAGAGAGAGAGGGAGAGAGAGAGAGAGAGAGAAAAAAAAAAAATAAACATAAAGAAAAAGGAGAGAGCGATAGAGAGGGAGAGAGAGAGAGAGAGAGAGAGGAGGAGAGAGAGAGAGAGAGAGAAGAGAGAGAGCGAAGGGAGAGAGAGAGAGAGAGAGAGAGAGAGGGAGGAAGGAGAGAGAGAGAGAGATAACATAAAAGGAGGAGAGCGATGGAGTGGGAGAGAGAGGGAGAGAGAGAGAGGGGGAGAAAAAGAGAAAGGGAGAGAGAGAGAGTGAGAGAGAGAGAGAGAGAGAGAGAGAAAAAGAGAAAAAAGAAAAAACAAGAAAGAAAGAAAGAAATAAAGAAAAATGACAGAGCGATAGAGAGGGAGAAAGAGAGAGAGTGGGAGGGAGGGATAGAGAAAGAGAGAGAGAGAGAGAGAGAGAGAGAGAGAGAGAGAGAGAGAGAAAAAAAGAGAGAGAGAGAGAGAAAGAGAAAGAGAGAGAGAGAGAGAGAAATAATGAGGAGGAGACGGAGAAGGAGAAGGAGAAGGAGAAGGAGAAGGAGAAGGAGAAGGGGAGAAAGAGAGAGAGAGAGAGAGAGAGAGAGAGAGAGAGAGAGAGAGAGAAACACACAACAAAAAAACAAACAAACAAAAAAAAAGAAAGAAATAGGGAGGTTCATTCCCATTGAAGCCTCGCCTCCTTTGCCAGCTGCCGCTGCCTGCGCGTCCTTTTCCCTTGGCTGGAAGGTTCCGGGCAGTGCCGGCGCGCTCTGCAGCGGGTGGCTTCATATAGTCGAGGCCGCCATCCATGGGCGTCGCCATCAGGCCAGCATTGGGGGATCTCGCAGCGAATCTTTCAGTTTCGACGTTTTCGCGGCATTGCGGGCGCCGCCGACGCGCCCGACGCATCCGCGCGATAAGGCGAGTGCTTTGCGAGCGCGAGCCACAGCGCTATCGCCAGCGGCGCGGCTGAACATTGGCGAAGGGAGGGCGTTTCGGAGAAGCTGGGCACCTTGCGCGCCGCGGCCGCCCGTTGCCGAGCGAGGGGCGAGGCCCTGGACGACGCGCAGCATGCGCTTCGGCGAGACGGTATATTTAGTTGACAGCAGTCGCCGGATTTCCTTGGCAGGACGAGGCAGCGCGCACATGGCCGGACTCGACGTGAATTACCAGCGCGCAGAGAAGGCGCAGTCAACGTCGGGCGCTGGCGTCGGCGATGGCAGGTTTCAGGTCCTTGGCAGCGACCGTTCCAGTTCTCGGTACTCTACTTCATAGGTTGAGCGACTCGACGAGCGGTGATGGCGATCTGGTTGTTGAGGGTAATGCGGCAATGCGTATCAAGCAGGCGCTGTATCTCAAGCAGTTGGCGCTGGCCATGAGGTGGTCTTCGAGCGAACTAGAGTTCGGTGGCGCGGCCAAAGATATTCGCGGGTTGGGCGAGCTCTTCTTTGATTTACGGGGTCGTGCCAGGCGCGAACCTTTCGCCGGCGCTCGCGGTCTACGATGTGCGACTGGCGCCAGGGCGAATCAAGCCCGGCGGAGCCATGGGCGTCGGCCAGTTGCGCCTAAATTGCAGGTTGCTCGATTGCCAGATGCAGCTGTTGACGAGCTGATTGTTTTTTATTCGGCGCGCGCGGCTGCCCGATGGTGGCCTCGCCGAGTCTAGCTCGCACTTGGCGCGCTGGTCCCGGGGCAGGTTTCAGGAGATCGCATTATAGGAATGTAACATTCTGCCCGAGTGTGGGCACAATCGAGACAGTGGACAGGCGAACGCGAACATCGGGATGCAGCTATCCGAGGTCGCGCAGCTGTTCGCGACGTCTTTTCTTCATGTGTGGGAGAGGAGCTGGCAAGGCTGTTGAACATCAGACACGGGAGTGGATTGCTTGACAGCCATTGGCATGGTGTTGTTTGTGGGCTACGGCTGGGGTGCGCAGCGCTCAGACTGAATCGTCCAGCTGAGACTGTGGGCGTGGAACTGCAGCGCTGCATGGCCGCCGCGCGGTGTTTGCGACGCGCGGGTTTGCGCTTCGAGCCCCTGTCCCCGCGGCGGTCTATCGTCCAGCGGTTGCTTGCAGGAGCGAGGTCTGCCATGCGCGCCGCGTGCCGCACCGCGCGCGAGCTGACCGCGGCCCATGTTCGCATGTCACACGCAATGTGGATCGGCGACTTCACCCAGGCGGCTGAGAGATCTCGCAGGTCCACGGCGGCGCAGCCGTCTCCTGGCGCGGCGGGCCCCCCCCCCAGGCTCGCGCGCGATGGCGGCCCTTCCATCGCGGCCAAGGGTTTTGCTGTAAGCGCTGGGTTCGAGGATGCGAATGCTGCGGTGCGACTCGTCCGTGCTCGTGGCATCGCAATGAGGCCGTGGTCCAGGCGGCCCGCTCAGGCGTCGGCCAAAACGGCGGAGTTCGGCGCGCTCGGCGACGTCGCGTCCAGCGCGCTGTCCACCATGCAGCCGCCCAGCGGGAAGTGCTCGGGCACGCCGCTTGGGGCTGCCAGGGGCGCGAGCGGCTGGTGCCCGCGGGCGCTGGCTTCAATGGGTCCTCGGGCGCGCCGTGGTTCGGTTCGGAAGGAAGCTCGGCAACTCGTCGGGGCCGCGGCTTTCAGGGCGATGCTTGGTGGCCCTCGTCTGCCCGAAGGTGCCGTCCAGGACCCTGCGCGCGCCTGCCCGCGGTGAACTTTGAAGTTGGAACCCAGCAGGCCCAGCACGTTGGGCCATGCCAGCTGGCGGCGCAAGCGTGGGGGGGGGCCGGGAGTTCCACGGGGCGCGCTCTCACGGTCTTCGAGGACTTGGACATGGCATCGCGTATTTTGGTTGAGTGCGCGGAGACGGCGCGGGGGGCCTCGCGGGCCCAAGGTGCCAATCCTTTTGACGGTAGCGGCGAAGAACGCGGGGCGTGCAACTTCTCGCGCGAGTGACGTCGCCCATGAGGTTTTCTCCCTCCTGCTTCTGTTGGAGCGGGTCGGCCGAGGTCAAGACGCCGAGCGCGGGCGAGGCAACGCACCTCGGACGCGTGCGCGGGATGTAAGTGGTGCCGGGAGACAGCCGCGCATCGTGCTTGGGGGCGCGATGGCATCGGCCAGAATCATCCAGCGCACCAGATGACGGGCTGCTGGGTTGCCAGTGCGCGCGCTCAGGGCGAGGCTGTGGCGTGCCACTGGACCAGGCGCTTGATTCCAGCGCACTTGCTCGCTGTCGCAGCCTCGCCTGATGAACAATCTTGGCATTCCACGGCTTTCCACTGCGATAGCTCCCGTTTTGGAGCGGGCGCGGGCAGCCGGCCGATATTTGGTTTCAGAGGCGCCAGCTGAGGCCCGGAGTCATCTCGCCCCAAGTGGAGGAGAGTAGGGGTCGGGCCAGTAGTATTTGAGCACCACGCGGACGATGTGAACATCACGTTCGGCACGAGGTGCAACGCCAGCGCCGCGTCAAGTGGTAGCCAAAGGAAAGTTACAAGCGTTGTTTCTCTTCCTGTAAGGGAGTGTCGGCCACGCGGCGCGCGCGAGGGATGACGAAGGAGTTCCCGGAAGGAGGGCGCTGCCAGAGGTTTCGAGCAACCGCGGGGCCAGACTCTGACCTGTGGTGACAGGTCGGCCGAGTCCTTGATGCGAGACCAACGTTGTGTTGCATTTTTCCATTCATCCAGTCGCACCAAGAGGCTGTTGATGCAGCAACCAGGAGATCGTCGCATCTTTCGGTGCTGGGCAGCACCAGTGGCGAACGAATTTGCAGTGGCGGACACGCAGCTTTGACGTCTGTCTGCCGCGGGTTTCTGCCAGCATCATCGTGCGGAGTATTAGGCCGCCTCGGTCAGGGTGAGAATTCTTTAGAGCCCAACCGAGACGGTCAAAGCAAATGATATTGAGGTTGCCCAGTCTGGGAGGTGTCGTGGGGGAAAAAAAGCAATCGTCGCGAGGCCTCCCGCCCTCTTTGCCGGTGTTTTTTCTCTTGTCCAGATTTCAGTTGTGCGATGAGAATCCGCGCGGCTGTCCGAGGCGCCAGGGGCCCACCGCGGAAGCCAAGCAGACGTCTAGGCTAAATTCTGAAAGTGGTGCATTGGGCAATGTTTTTGGTTAGTTGTTTGGGCCCCCCTGGGCGTCCGGTGCATTTTGGGGGCGGGTGCGCGGATCCGAGCCATCAGGAAAATTTCGCCGTGGAGCTGGGGGTCTGGCTTTGTACAGGCCGTGTGTCTTACGCAGTTCAGCAGCTCGCGAATCCAATTAAGGCTTGCCACGACACATTTTAGAAAATAGTCGATTTGATTATCTTGATAAGATTACCAAGGGTCTCTGGCCTAAGACCCGCACCGAACTTGAGCAAACCAAACCAAGGTTCTGACATCCCCTGTTTGAGTTCCTCGACCCCGACGTGGTCGCTATATCCAAAGCTCCAGAATACCCCCTATCCCCTCCCACCCCCTCCTGCCGGGCCTGCCGGGAGCCGGCAGCGCAAAGCGCACCTCGCGAGGCCGAGAAGGCCTTCGGGTGGCCCAGCACGGCGCGTAGAGCTGGGGGCTCCCTTTGGGCGCCGTCGAGGAAACCTCCGAGAAGACTCGGAGGAGCCATTTGCGATGAGCTTCCGTGTCGGGGCCCTCGCGCCCGCAGGTCTTCGCCCTGGCGTGGCGCGCGTCGCTCGCCGTTCGCGGGTCGCCCCCCGCCTGGCCCCGCGGCCCGTGAGACCTGGCAGTCGTGCGCGCGCGCGCGTCTCGTCCTCAGCAAGACAGAGCAGAAACAACGCATCGGCCTGCCCGCTTCTTGCGGACGTTGCATGCTCGTGCAGGGTCCTGCGCTCGTAGGTATCAGATGACATTTCCTACAGCATGAGTTCAAGTGAGCTCAACCACGAGAAATCTTCCACAAGCAACCCAGCACTGAGACCCCAGGATATCCTTTGCCTTTTGGCGTGGGAAGGTCACGTTTTCCATGGCGAAACCATCGGAGCCCAGGAAACTTAGACACCGTGGAAGCATGGGCTTCCATTAGCTACCTCGAAATGCACCGAGTGGACCCCAACTCCGAGCCCAGGATGCACCTGGGCGCCCGACGATGTCCGTCGTCTTTGGGGCGCCGCGTTCGAGATCGGGGCCCCAGGGGGCCCGAGACGTCGGTGTTCCCGACTCTCGTCTCTCCTGGCGCCGTCGCCGTCTCACTCGTTCTCCTCCAACAACTCCTCCTCCTCCTCCTCCTCCTCCTCCTCCTCCTCCTCCTCCTCCTCCTCCTCCTCCTCCTCCTCCTCCTCCTCCTCCTCGCCCCCGCGCGGCATTGGGCGGCATTGGGTGCAGGACCTGCGGTGCATCCTTCGCTCGCGCGCGCGCGCTCACGGCCCGCGGGGGGCCTCCAACGCCGGCGTGGCCTCCCTGGCGCAGACCTCCTCGCTGCGGGCGCCCAGCGCTCGCCCCCCCCCCCTCCCGCGCCCTTCCAGGCAGCGAGCGGGTGGGTCTCCTCGTTCGCGGGGGGGGGGGAGGAGAGATCGTGGAGCTGCGGGGGTGGCCTTCACGGGGGGGGATGTTGGGGGAGGAAGGTGGAGGGCAGGGTGTGGAAGGATGGGGCGGGAGAGGAGGGAAAACAGGGTTCGCAGACGGCGGGGGGAATGGACAGGAGTGGAAGGCGAGGGGAAGGTCATGGGACACCGGAAGAGGACGCGGGGAGACGGGCGGGAGGAGGAGAGGAGGAGGAGGAGGAGGAGGGGGAGGAGGAGGAGGAGGAGGAGGAGGAGGAGGAGGAGGAGGAGGAGGAGGAGGAGGAGGAGGAGGAGGAGGAGGAGGAGGACGACGACGACGACGACGACGAGGACGAGGACGAGGACGAGGGCCAGGACGAGGACGAGGAAGAGGAGGAGGAGGAGGAGGAGGAGGAGGAGGAGGGGAGGGGAGGGGAGAGACGCCCCTGTGGGCGGCCAGCCACGACAGCGTTCTCGCAGGTGGAAGCGACCGATCGACGACAAGGTTGCCTTCCTCAACGAGTCGGGCGCCGTGGACGTCACGTTCGCGCTGCTCGACAACGTCAGCCTGCTGCACGTCGACTTCTACAACGCGGCCTCGGGGCGCGGCGGGAACTTCGAGATCGCGGTGCCAGACGCCGAGTACTTGCTCGCCGAGCTTCTAGGCATCGAGCAGGATCTCCTCGTGGACCACAGAGGTCGCGCGGCCCTCCTCGCTCTGTCCCCGCTCCAGTCCCTGGCCGCCTCTCGCCGTCCATTCTCGCGCTGCCCTCCTCCGTGGCCCAAGGTGTCCCCAGGATTCGGATTTCCAAGGAGGCCCCCACGGCCTCCAGAGCACCCCTCACGAGGCGCAGAGGGCCCCAGGGGCTCCAAGATGAAGCGAAAAGTTGGGAGCATCTTGGGCCAGGGGCACCTTTAGATGGGGAGGACTTGCGAGGGGACTTGAGGACACGGGAGGGCAAGGAGGCTTATCTGGCCTGGCAATCCCAGCCTTATCCTCCTCGCTATGCGGCTTTCTCCGGCTTGACCCTTGGCAGCCCCCGCAAGCTGGCCAGATCGACTCTCGTCGCGCCCGCGAAGACCTTCCGGAAGGTGCGTCGGAATATACTGCCATCTTTCCCGCCCGCTTCCCTTCCTCAGGCAGGCGTGGCAAGAGCACGCGTCGCTCCAGAGCGTTCTGGAGCGCTCCCCACAGCTTTGCTGGAACGGTCGAACGGCTGCGGCGCCCGAGGCGTCCCGTGGACCCGCCAGCTCTCAGAGATCCAGAGCTGTCTCTGCCCGGCTATGCTTAGGTCGGGCATGTCCCCCATACAGGCGGATTTTGGACGAATAATGAAAAATATACCAGAAATCCCCAACAACTGTTAAATAATACTCAACACATCGTCACCCGACTATCTTTAACTATTTTCGAAGATTCCTCCTGTAGAAGGAGACGTCCGACCTAAGGCTATGCCTTTTCTCCATGCCGTGGTCTCGCCTCTCCGTGGGAGCCGCGCGCGGGAAACGTGCTCACGGTCACGGCCTCGCGGTTGAGACCCCTCGGCCACGACGCCAGGGAGACAGGGCGGCTGTGCGCAGATTCCCTCTCGCGGAGCGTATCCACAGGGCCGTGTGCCCTTTTAGGATCGCGCTCGGGTATCCAGACTGCGCGCGTGAGCTTGAGAGGGAGGAGGGAAGGGGGTGGGAGGAGGCCGAGGAGGAGGAGGAGGAGGAGGAGGACGAGGAGGGGAAGGCCGAGACGGGGAGGAGGAGAAGGAGGAGGAGGAGGAGGAGGAGGAGGAAGAAGAGGCGGAGGAAGAGGAGGAGGAGGAGAAGGAGGAGGAAAAGCAGGAGAAAGAGAAGGAGGCCTACGCCAAGCAGTGCCCCCAGCCTTGAGGCCAGCCTAACGCCGAGCCCCACGCCCACCCCGACGCCCCGCTCAACGCCCGGCCCGTCGGCCGGCTCAACCCACACCCGGCATGGGAGCCCTTCGGGCATACCTCGGGGAGTGGTTTGGAGCCCAATTGCTATCCATTGCCAGCTTTAGAGTTGCTCATCCGTTGCCAGCTTGATCGACACTCTGCAACATTCCATTGTGACCTACAGTCGCTGGGCGGCAGAAGTACAACCATTCGTATTCGTTTCCTTCCGCGTGACGTTCTTGTTTTCAGACACACGGGTCGGACAAGGCCACCCCAAACCCTGAACGGGACCGAGTAAGGCATACCTTGTTGATGGCTAGCAGGTCTGACATCACTCATCAACGCGGCTCGCCTACAACCCAGCCGCCTACGACCACCTCTATGCTCACGTATGTCCTCTGTCCTGTCGCTGCTGTTTCAGGGCGGGCTCTCAGACGTTGCACACGAAGCACTACGCAGAGCACGCAGCAGCGCAACAACCACGACGACACACTAAGACTAGCAAGACACACTTAGCGCCTTCACCGACATCAGCTACCTAGGCCAGCTGGCCAGCTTGTGCTGCCGGCGCCAAACCCTGAGCGGGGGCCTTCGTGCATGCCCAGGGAGGGGGCACTACGGCACAATCCCCATACCCTGCATGGGGACTCTGGGCATATCTGAAGGATGGCAGTATACTCACAACAACATGTACGACAACATCCGTCCAATTGTACAGCGTGGCAGGCTCATCCTTATTATGTGCTTACGAAACAAAAGCCGCACCTCCGTGACATCACAGGTTGCACATGTTCGGTCGTTCTTATCGTTGTTTCCCCATAATTTGTGAAACTACCCCCTATTGATTTTGCAAGATGAGATACGTCGTTTTCCGTACAATTAAACGCAGCCGCCAAGTGTTCAAATGTTGTTTCGAAAATATTTTCGAGCTCTTTTGCTTACTGCAACGAGGAACACCACTCCGCATCGAGTCTTCAGTCCTATTCCAGACGATGGCCGTTTCGGCATCCATGTTGTTGGCTACGCCCACGCACAGCGGTTCGCCACACACTTCAACGAATCCAATATTACAAAGCACGACCGCACCCGACCCACGATGCGACGCCGACTCTGCTGCGCCGCTACGAGGACAGGTCGCAGGACGAGGTCAAGGACGAGGAGCTGAACACCATGGCCGCGTGCATTGTACTGCGGGTTGGCCGCGAGTGCCCACCAGTTCCTACCCGCGAAGGATGGGCCTTCGTTGGCCGACCGAGCCATATACCACCGCCGACTTGCCCGACATCAGACACAGTGAGTTCCAGCAGCTATTTCAACTTCTTAAAGATGTACCCCTGCGCTGGGAGCATATGCACATCCACGGAAGCTTCGGCTGCCACTGGGCACTTGGACCATGCGACATCCCCCACTGAAGGCCCCTGCAAGAACGCCGGGGCGGGCAACCAGTCGCAGGGGGGCATGAACCGCACCCCGACGACTTCTGGCACCAGACCGTCATCACCGCTTCCTGGCACGAGCTTGCCGAAGACATCGCCGCGAAAAGGGCGCGGCTCAAACGCGCCCACTACTGCAGCGACGGTATCGTGCGCGACCTCGCAGAGACCCTTTGCATCATCTGCAGTCAACATCTCAACAAACTGTGCGAGTTCGCCATGGGCGAGAACAGGGGCACCCGTGTGGTGCACTCATATTCACGGGACAACCTATGCATCTGTTTCATGACCAACAGCACCAACAACATCGACGCAGGCTCAGAGCTTCGGTATAACCCGCCGCCAGATTTGCCGACACCTCAGGGGCAGCACGCCCGCTGCGGGCCGCGCCGCTCGCCGACAGGGCCCGCCGGCACACCACGCCACCTTTCGCGCGCGAACAGCCGCGGCGCGTGAAACTCCGTGCGGCCCCCGACAACATCACGCAGCAGCTTAACCAATGGAGAGGCACAGTGAGACAACCTTCTCCACCACTGGCGCCCAAAACGCCGCCGACCAATGCGAGCTACAGGCCCCTGTGCCAGCCAATCCGCAGCGGCCGCCCGCGATCTGGCCACTCCCACCCACCGCCGTTCAACATGTGCCCCGAGCATCTCGCGGTCGCAGTAATACCTTCGCGGCGCAGCCTCGCACCGTCAGTTGTCCTTCGCATGTACCGCCGAATGGGAGAGAGCTTCGCCTTCGAGACGCTGGCAGTGCTCAGGGGCGGGAGGGCCGACGATGGCGAGGACCACGAGTATTACCGCGACCATTCATATTCTTCTACAAAACGCCTACAGACAGAACAGACAGAGCACGCGCGCCAAGACGCGATGCGCAAGCGCTGCAGCAGAGACAGACAACCGGCCCCACCAGCCCGCTTGCTCACGCACATCGACTTCTGCCCGAACCGACCGTATCCAAATTCGACGCATCATCCAAGACAACCACCGCAGCCCGCGCCCCCTCGCCCCAGCCGAGCACGCCCACGCCAGAAGCCATAGCCGACATGGGCCGCAGAGGCTCCTGGTACGACACAGAAGGCGGCATGACTGTCCACCTACCATTCAAGCCCGTGCCACCGCGCCCGCACCAGGACTTGCACTGTCTGCCAGGATGGACAGCCCACGCCAGCGACGATCGCGACTGTATCAGGGTGGCCTACCACAGCGAGCACGAAAAAACGCGCACGTACCGATTTCCAAGGGACTATCTCTTCATGGACAGATGGCGCAGACACCTGGGCCATGTCAATAAGGAATGCTTCACCAGCACACTATACCTAGACCAGCTCCAACACCCACCGCTTCTATCAGTCAATTCTGGCACCCCGCAAACACCTCACGACGAAGTACGAGCTGAAACAACTGCATGCCGACTCGCGCCCGACCGCGCAGCGCCAGCCGACCAGTCTCCACCACCACCAACGCCGGCCTGCGTCCAGAAGAATACGCTTGCCGTTGGCACCCTGGAGGAGATGCAGAACAGGCACAACGACGACCCCGATTTGCGCCCCGACGGAGTACTGAGCAACCGGCGCGCCCGCGACATGATCCAACGATTTCGCGAGCATGTTACCAGCCACAACTGGACCGATACACTTATTCAAATGGCTCTTTTCATTTCCGGTTAGCACGTGGCCCCAGGATCTTCTCGGAGCCGCAGCGATGCTCAACATAATGAATTACGCGTGCGATGCAGTTGCCCATGCCATACAAGACTACGCCAGCAGTAGCTGTAGTTTACTATCCTACACGACCGACAGCAGCACCAGCGCACCGACGCCCGCCGACCAGCACCAGCGCTCGATCGACATCCAAGCTCCAGCAGCAGCATGGTTCACGCACTACCCACCAGCAGAAGGTGCAGAGCAGACCACGGCGCCGCCGAAAGCCGCAGCATACCCTGGAAATTACCTGACGCCACATCCACACCCACAGCCGCGACTCAGCATACGCCTGTTACTTGCACACCGCCAGGCACCTCGACTGCCCAATACGGATGGCTGGCAGGCATCCCGCCGAACCAGCGTATCAAACAACCACCACTGCGTACTTCCCACCCGAAGCCCCGCCACCAATAGAAGACGCCCAGACTGGCTCGACCCCAATGCCGGCAGCCGACCAACCAGTGCACGACGCCAACAATTATGACGAGCCAACCCCAACAGCATACTTCGAGAGAGTCCGAGACAATCAGCATTGATACACGCAGTACTTGGCACCAGTTCAGTAAAGGCAAAAGGCCGGACTTGTACGGGCGCCAGTCAAATTGTCGCCCACTGAAAAGCCCAAGTACGCATCTACACCACGGAACTCCAAGAACACGGACGAGGCACGACCACTGCCATCACATCTGGCATTGCCTGCCCCATGCCCCGCATGGGGGCCCTGCGGGGCATGCTTGGGGTAGGGGCACAACGACTACGGTCGCCGCGGCATGTTCGATTACTGATCCTCGGATCTCATCCCCCCATCGTTTCTTGCCAGCTTCCCGTTTGCACACCTCGGCCCGGTGGGTGAGCGGAGCTTTCGGGGGCAGGGGTCTGCTCGCGCATGCCAGCAGATTCAAACACAAAACCCTCCGGGGGCGCCTGCGCGCGGGCCCCCCCCGCGCCCCGGGGAACCCGACGCCGCCCGTGGAAGTTCTCCGCAGGGGCGCCATGCTACACCTGCTGCCATTGCAATTTCCCCACGTTGCCGTTGATGGGATTTGCCTCGAGGCCATTCTCCACGTCTTCGCGCGCATCCCGCGCTGCCGTTATACATATATATATATATATACATATATATATATACACACGCCCCCTGCTGCAGGCGCCATTTGTTGATAATGGCCAGGCCACCCTGGCCCAAACAACGCACGACGACTAGGGCGAGGGATCCGTTGGCGGCGGGGGGCAGTCGGGGCGCTCGGGCGCCCACTTTGGCCGAGCTGCCCGAGGAACTGCAATCGGCAGGCCGCAGCGCACGCACATATCCATCCCTTCAGCCCAATCCGCCCAGCACGCCCGATTCTCACATCGAGCTGATAACTGCAGGCCAGTCGTTTTATGTATGCTGGCCTTGCAGTCTACTCCGCAACCGACACCCATCGTACTGCGCCTGGTGTCTTTCCCCAGGCTTGCGCAAGGCTGCCCGCGATGCTCCCCAATGTGTCGAGCGAGCGTGCTACATGCCCAAATGCCTCCAATCACCTCTATTCATTCTGGCCCTACCCCCAGACCGTGACTTTGAAGGTGAGTCACCACCGGGGAACCGAAGCGCGGGCCTCTTGCTGGCACCATGTTTTGGGGGGATGTTCCTAAATGCCTACTGCACTTCCACCGCACCGGCCTCGCATGCTATTGGGTAGGGGGTGCTTAACCGTTTTGAGACGGTTGGAGAGGAGGTGGAGGCGCGAGAGTTCACTTATACCGTTCGCATTGCCCGCAGCATCGGCCACCCATTACCGTTTGGGCCAGCCTTTTCCATATTTCTGCAGGCTCCAGTTTCAAGCTTCATCCGTACATGCAGTGGCGACCTGCGCCTTAGCATGTTTTGCAAAGCCCGACTTTAACTTATCACCAACAGGCAACAGCTTGCGCTAGTCTCAGCAGAAACTCATACAAGCCTACACCGTGTTTCCCTTTTGCCCAATTTCATTTGAAACCCGTTCACTGTTTTAGCCTGATGTGTTCTTTCCAGGCTGGTCTTGCAACAGCCTGCTTGACCTAAGGGATGTGATGGCGTTGGGGCTTCAGAGGTCTTGGGTAGGGAAGCTGGGGCCTTCAGTACGTCATGTCCCAATTATTCGGTAGTGGATCCGTGTACTGGTTCGGTATCCCCCTGCTCCCACTAGCTGCTTGCTTAGTTATGCCGTGCTCCCATGCGCACTACTTGAGTCAGTAGTGGCAGAGCAGCCTTAATTTGTTTTTGTTTCACATCCCTAAATCGGCGCATTTCATCTCTTTATCTCTCGAGGAACGCAACACCCCATGCCTTCGTGTCCGCCCAATGCAAAAAAGAGCACGTGGAGGAGGAGGACGAGGATTGAATGAAGAGGAGGAGGAGGAGGAAGAAGAGGAGGAGGCGGAGGAGGAGGAGGAAGGGGAGGTGGAGGAGGAGCAGAGGGAGGAGGAGAAGGATAAGAAGGATTAGGAGGAGGAGGAGCAGCAGCAGGAGGAGGAGGCCGCTGAGGGGCAAGAACCTGATCAGGACAAAGCAGCAGGAGGAGCAGGATGAGGATGCAGGAGGAGGGGGAGGAGGAGCAGCATCAGGAAGAGCATGAGGAGGACGAGGACCAGTGTAACCCCCAAACGCATCAAAGATATTACAATTCACCCTCCCTCCGAGTTCCCTCCTCATATGCCCCTACAATTCACCTAACAGTTTCGTTCACTCCACCAGCCCATTTCGCATCACTGATGCATCGTGATGCAGCAAGATGGTTCACGAGAGCTTCAGCAGATTTTCGAGACGCGCCCATACAGTTTAACAGGGTTGTGGAAGGTCTCCTGGAGGCCTGACGGAGGCCTGACGGCGTGCAGGATTGTCCTAGCAGAAAAGTCTCAGGCCCGTCTGGGCTGTCTTGGGCTGTCTTGGGGCGATCGTAGTGGCCTCGGTCGGCAGCCCGAAAAGGCGGTACCGCCAAATCTTCCGAAAACCCTAGCGAAATCAATGACTTTGGCGCCTGCGGGGTGCCTCGAAGTCCTTGTAGACCTCTCCTGGGGCGTCTTGGGCGCCTCTCGGGCCGTCTTTGGACCAACGTGGGCCATCTTCAGGATTTCCCGAGCGCCTGCTGGCGGCCGCGGGGCGAACTTTCGGGAAAGGCTTGATGTGTCTGGTCGAGCTCCCCCTCCTGGGGCGGTCGCGGGAGCTTCGGGAGCCCTCTGGGAAGACCTCTTGGGACGTCTTGTGGTTCTTGTTGGCCGTCTCGGGCCCGACCTGGGGGTCTCTTGGGCTTTACTGGGGCGATCCTGGTGGCCTCTCGGGCCGTCAAGGGCGGGCGGCAGCCCGAGAAGGCGGTACTGCCAAAATCGCCCGAAAACGCTAGCGCAGTCAATGATTTTAGTGTCTCCGGGACGTCTCGGAGTCCTCTCGGAACCCTCCCGGGACGTCTTGGGCGCTTCTCGGGCCGTCTTCGGACCAACTTGGGCCATCTTGGAACGTTCTTCGCCTGAGGCCAAGGAACCTGCCACCCACTTGGCGCCTCATTGAGGCGCTCTGGGGGGCACCCGATGCCTCGCCCAGGAGTTCCGGCATCTCTGATCCGGATCAGCCGGGACCTTGCCGGGATCTAACCAGGGTATTTTTCGTCCAGGGACCCCCAGTGCCCACCACACGCGCGCGAACTATAAACGTTCTTGGACTCTTCCCGGAGATTTTAGCACGCCTCTGGCGCGTTGGGCCGGCGAATGGTCATTGCTGGAAGTGCCACTGCACCATACGATAACCTCGCCGCGGGGGCAGAGCAGATTTGCTTCTGATTTTTGGGGTTTTTCGGTTTTCACATTGCATTTTGGGCGCGCGCCTGGTGTCCAGAAGGATCGCTGGGGGCGACCAGAACAACGCCCGGAAGAACGCCTGGGAGCGCGCTGGCGCGAGCACCCGGGCGAGCCCAGAAGAGTGCCGAGAACAGCGCCCAGGAAAACGCCATCAAGAGTGCCCAGAATATGGCCCGGACGCGAATCTGGAAGAGCGCCCGAAAGAGCGCCTGGAAGTGCGCCCAGAAACGACCGATTTTGCGACCGATTTCGCGCCCGATTTCGCGTCCGATTTTTTGTGTGTCGATTCAATATTAAGATATATCAGACGCAAATCGGATTTAAAATCGGACAAAATTCGGACGCAAATCGGACGCAAAACCGGACGCAAATCGGACGCAAAATCGGACGCAAAATCGGGAACAAAATCGGGCGCTGATGGTGTCGACCATTTCTGGGCGGATGAGGCAGCGTATCGCGGTGCATCATGGCGAGGTCTGGTAGGGTGTGCATTGTGGACCCACGCGCGCAAGTCAGCGTTGGAGTTTTAGCGATGTGGCGAACGACAAACTGCGATATCGCGCTGTGTCCAGGTCGGGCCAAATCGACAGAAAAATCAGATCGCCGCTTCTGCGGCTGTTTTTCAGGTGACATACGAGTATTTGACACTGCTGCAAACTTGTAAGACGATTGTGATCGGCGCAAAGGCGATAACCACATTGTGTGGAAGGAGCCACCCTTCATCCTTACACTGCTGCAGACTTTTACGAGAAATAGGCGCGGCGCTGCAGCGTGAGCCGCGTTGAGAAAACCACCCGCCATCCGTCCGAATCCGCTACACATCTTTTTGACGAGTGTGCGCGGCGCTCAGGCGAGAGCATTTTTTTGAACACCCCCAGACCTCAACCCTCGAACCCGTTTCAAAGTTCAAGCCTGAGAGAATGGTGAAGTGGAACACGCTAGGTCTTCGAGGAGCTTGAGAATCATAAGCGGCGGGGGGATATCAGGCAGGACGCCTGGCCCACCCTGCTGACACGTCTAGTGGTGCGACAGGGAGAAGACGTGTAGAAAGAAAGGACCAGGGAACGCAACAGTAGCAGGAGGTTGGAAGAGCACGAGGAGCAGCAGCAGCAACAGCAGCAGCATGAGGAGCAGGAGGAGCATGGATAGCGATGGGTGTAATGTCAGCTTGTGATTTAAAAAAGTGACTGTCCCCCCAGGGGCTGACGAGTACACCCCGCTGGGCGCGACATTTCGTTGTGACAGCGCGCCAGGGGGGGGAGGAGGAGAGAGGAGGAGGGAGGAGAACGAGGAGGAGGAGGACGAGGACGAGGAAGAGGAGGAGGAGGAGGAGGAGGAGGAGGAGGAGGAGGAGGACGATCAGGGAACCTATTCGTTTAGACGCACGCGCCCCACGGACTTGTGAATCACAAGCTGACGTTATATGGCTGCCGCTCGTGAGGGAGGGCCCCCCCACCCCGCCCGCAGGCCGCCCGCTGCCCGACGCCAGGGCGGCGCGGATGCACCGCGAGCGCAGCTACCGCGCGCAGTTCGCCGAGGTCCTCGAGGAACTCAGGCGCCAGACCTCCGAGGACCGGGGGCGGCCGAGGGGGGGCTGGCGAGGAGGGAGCGATCGAGGGAGAGCGACTGGGAGAAGGGGGAGGAGGAGGTGGGAGGAGGAGGGGGAGGAGGAGGAGGAGGAGGAGGAGGAGGAGGAGGAGGAGGAGGAGAGGAGGAGGAGGAGGAGGAGAAGGAGGAGGAGGAGGAGGAGGAGGAGGAGGAGGAGGAGGAGGAGGGGAGGAGCGGAGGAGGAGGAGGAGGAGGAGGAGGAGGAGGAGGAGGAGGAGGAGGAGGAGGAGGAGGAGGAGGAGGAGGAGGAGGAGGAGGAGGAGGAGGGGGAGGGGGAGGAGGAGGAAGCAGAGGAGGAGGAGGAGGAGGAGGAGGAGGAGGAGGAGGAGGAAGCAGAGGAGGAGGAGGAGGATGGGGAGGATGAGGAGGAAGGAGAGGAGGAGGGGGGAATAAGGACTATGAGAGCAATGCACCACGATTCGCACGCTAGGGCTGCCCAGGGATGTCATGTGCGGCGGGCGCAGCCGTCGGCCTGCACGCAATTGCGATGCAAGGCGCGGCCTGGGCCCTCGTCCCTCAGCGCGAGCTCGCTGGAGCGCAGTGCGCAGTGCGGGATTTCTCGCGGGAGGGAGATCGAGGGGAGCAGTTGTGGAGGGGGTGCGCAGGCCAGCCGATCGGCTAGTGCGCCCACTGGCGATGGCATCGGCGCTTGGAACTTCTTTTCCAGCACGGCACGGCACCGTTGATTCTTTTCTCACCGAGCGCGTTCCATTACTCACAAAGTGCCTCCTCGCAATCGGCCCTAACAACAAACGTCTGCCTCGATGTAATGTACCGCAAATCCCTCTCGGCAGATCCGGGCCATTTGCGAGTCGGTACTTTGCGAGTAGTAGAACGCGCTTGCCTATTTTCGCAACCTGGGGCTGCTTTTGATGGCGTTGCTCAGTGCCTAGTTATTATCCGTGTTTCTTTCCAGTTCCTGGGCCTCGTGGCGTTGCTGGCCTAGCCCGTCTCCGCGCTGGCCTGCCCCCCTTGTTGCATCGAAGGCATTGAAGGAGTGAAGGAGCTGGGAGGATTATTCTCCTTCTTCCTCCCTCCTCCTCCTCCTCCTCCTCCTCCTCCTCCTCCTCCTCCTGACGATCCCAGGGGCCCCGGAGGCAGAGCATGTCCAACAACTTGCCGCCATGACTCTTCACGACGCGAGGACACAGAGGGTCACCCCGCCTCCGCTGTGCGCGACTCCGGCCCTCCCCCGCGCGTTCGCTGCCCCGCGAGCGGCCCTGTTGAGAAGGACGGCGGGGCGCTGCCGCTGGACGAGCTGGACGCGGAGGACTCGGCCGAGGACTTCGAGCCGCGCGTCGCCGGCCAGGACCACCCGCAGGCCAGTCCCAGAGAGCGGCCCGAGACCCCGACGTCCTCGCGTCGTGCAGCAATCGCGACGGAAGGCGTCTGGCCACAGATGGGGGAACGAACGATGGCATAAGCACAAAAACTCGGAGGTCCGCGCGGATTTCTTGGATCCGCGCTGGACCCCCCCTCCCTGGCGCGCGGAGCGAGCCAGGGGCGGCGCCGGAGGCGCACCCAGGGGGGTCCCAGCGCGGATCCGAGAAGTCCGCGGGGACCTTTGGGTTTTTGCTGATGTTTATGTCATTGCTTGTTCCCCTGTTGCTGAGCCAGCCCTCAGGAGGAAAAGCCAGTGTCCAGGAAGTGGTCCAGACCTCTCGGAAGCCACGCTGCCAAGGAGTTAAGGCGTCGGACTTTCGGGGGAGCCCAGGCCTCCCCCCGGACGGGGTCTGAGCAGATGGGGTTTGGGAGGTTCGCGCCGCCCCGCCGGTGCGTCGGAGATGTGGCTCGACTCGGTGCCCAGTCCCATAGATCCAACGCGTTGACAAAAATCAGGACGGAGGTTCTTCTCAGCTCTCGGCTTCTACGGGCCCTCGCCGGGCCCCAGGACCGTCAAACATGGGCTCAGGATGAAAAGGCGTCCTCGGGAATGGGTCGAGACTTCCGGGGACCCCGTATTGAACAAATCGCGACATCGGATCCCTGGGGTCTTCTCCGTCACGACGGCGCCGATGCATCGGCGATGCTCTGCGATTTCGTTGGCCGGTTTCGTCTTGACTTCGTTTCCCAGCAAAGGTGGATCGGAGACAGAACGGGGGGAAAACAAAAAAGACGCGCACTGTTTTGGTCGAGCCCTGCCGACTCCAGCTCCGGCCACGCGCCGCAAGGGGCATCGGGAGAGAGGAGAAGGCTTCGTAGACGCACCCCTGCTTCACAGAAGGCGCGGGCCTCTCATTCGTCGGTCATTAAAGCAGGTGTTTCTGGACCCCCAGATCCCATTCTACTCCATACGCCTTCCTAATTCGTCGGTCATTGAAAGCAGGTGTTTTTGGACCCCCAGATCCCACGCTACTCCATGCGCCTTCCTGCTTCAAGGATCGCGCGGCTTTGCCCCTTCCCTCCTCTTCGGCGGGTGGGCGGACGCCCCACCTGCTTCCAACGCCTCCTTACTTCATGGTTCTGCTCGCTTCTTCCGACCGGCGGGTATCCGTAGATGCAGGGCCAGCGCCTTCTAAGGAGCAGCCTCCGGCCAAGAGGCCTTGCCCCCCTCCCCGCACTCCCCCGTGTGCGCGCGCGCCCCTCCTCCAGGGACCGAGGCGTCTTGGCGTCTGCCTTCCCCGGCGGAAGGGGCTGGCGGGAGGCGGCGGGCGAGCCTCCCACGATGGACCACGAGTGGTCGCGGTGCAGGACGTATGGGAGGTGCGACACCTGTTTGCGCTTCAGGCGCCAAGATCGCCGCCCCTCGCCTGCTGGCTGTACTGGGGAGGTTCCCTTGGCCCTGCTAGGGGTGAAAGAGCGAGGGCATACGCTCCCCTCTTTGACCGCTCCGATGAGAGTCCCCAGTTCGTGTGTACCTCGTGCAAGGCCTACACTACGCTGGGCCCACTCAAGATCCTGGGTGAACAGTGCCTGGGGACGACGGGAGCGACGAGGAGTAGTAAGAACAGGTGGTCTCTCATTTTAAAGTGCCGTCGCCCGAAGCAAAAAGGTGTGACGTTGACGGAAGACACCCTTGCTTTCGAGTGATTTTGATGGCAGGGCACAGTCCAGGTAACACAAATCCAAGGCCTTTACGCCCGTACCGCGCATCCTTCTTATCCGGCTTGTTCGTAGAATTTCAGAGGAGCCAAAGATATCCATACCACTATTCCTGGCTAGTTTTCCCCTCTTTTTGCCTCCTGGGAGGCCCTCGTCGCCGCCGCTGGATTCGCCTCGAAATCCTGGACAGACCGCGCCCCAGGACAGGTCCAGTGACCAGCGGTTTCGGTACATGTTGGTTTCCCCAGACGTCGGCATATCAGGGGCCACAGAGTTTCCGAACAGATCTTGGGGGCTTCCGAAGGAGTCTCAAGAGATGCCTCAACAGTCCGAAGGATTCCCTGTGACTCGCGAACAGCTCGCGAAGGATCCCCAGAGGGCTCCCACGGAGCAGCGCTAGGAGAAGGGTAGGATGAGTTGCCGGAGAAGCGGAAACAGGAGCAGGAGGATGATTGTTGCTGTTGTTGCTCCTCGCCAGACACCATTGCCCCTTCTCGTGGTGTTGACGCTGCTCCTCAGCAGTATTTCCAAGAATCCCTTCAGCAGAAATCCCAAAGACTACCTAAGGAGCCTTGCGTATTCCCTAAGGAGTCCTACGCCTCCCCCTCGGAGTTGCAAGGATGCAGAAGGAGTCCTGGGGGTGATCCTGAGGAGCCCGAAGGATGTGATACGCACTCCGAAGCATTTCCAATGAACCTGCATGTATTTCTCAATCAAGAGAATCAGAGGGCTCTCACGGGCTACTGCGGATTTCATCATGCATTCAAATCTATGCCAAAGAGGTCCTGAGTATGTCCCACGGCATCACACATCCCAATGGCGTCTCACGGGGCAGTAGAAGAGGGGAGGGTCACGAGGACAGTCGCCTGGATGATGAGCATGACGACTAGCAGCTTTATCATGATGGTAACTGTTGCAGCTCCTCGGCAACTACCGTACCGCCCCTCTCCCGATGCTGATGCTGCTTCTCTTGCTGGTCATCATCGCCATCCCGCTGATGCTACCTGCGCTGCAGATGCTGCTCAGTGTGCTGCTGGTGCTGCTGCTGCTGCTCCTCATGGGAGGAAGGACGGCCGGGGCGGAGCAGGACCCGGACGATGACGGGCAGCATCAGCAGCAGGAGAAAGTTGAGCAGCAGGAGGAGGACATGGAGCAACTGCAGCAGGAGGAGCCCTCCTGTGCTCTCGGCCTCCCCGCCGCCGCCGCCCCGCCGAGGCTGGGCTCCGACCTCCCGCCGTTGCCCCGCCGAGCAGGCTGATAACCCAGGGGCGGGCATTGCACGCACTCGCCCAGGAGCCTTGCCGACGGCATGAACCACCAGCGCCCCTGAATACATGTACTGGTCTCCCCTGGGTTATCCCCCCCCCATCGTCGCCCCCGATCCCCCCCAGAAATCCGGCCGCTCCACACTTTTGGCGATGCCTGGGCCCAGGAGCTCTGGACCTCGCTTCCCTGGGGCTGGCGTTTCCTCCTGAGCCGTCTTCTGACGGCCCCGAGGCCCAGCGGGGGCCCCGGAGGAGGCCGACCACGGACACGAGCACACGCCGCTCCAGTTTTGGTCCGCGCGTCGGACCTTCGGGGAGGGAGGAGGGAGGAGGAGGAGGAGGAGGAGGAGGAGGAGGAGGAGGGAGGAGGAGGAGGAGGAGGAGGAGGAGGAGGAGAGGAGGAGGAGGAGGAGGAGGAGGAGGAGGGGGAGAAGGAGAAGGAGAAGGAGGAGGAGGAGGAGGAGGAGGAGGAGGAGGAGGAGGAGGAGGAGAGGAGGAGGGGAGGGAGGGAGGGAGGGAGGGAGGGAGGGAGGGAGGGAGGGAGGGAGGGAGGGACAGGGAGGGAGGGAGGGAGGGGAGGGAAGGGGAGGGAGGGAGGGAGGGGAGGGGAGGGGAGGGGGGAGGGAGGGAGGGAGGGAGGGAGGAGGAGGAGGAGGAGGAGGAGAGGAGGGAGAAGGAGAAGGAGGAGGAGGAGGAGGAGGAGGAGGAGGAGGAGGAGGAGGTGGAGGAGGAGGAGGGAGGGAGGGAGGGAGGGAGGGAGGGAGGGAGGGAGGGAGGGAGGGAGGGAGGGATGGAAAGAGGGGAGGGGAGGGAGGGGAGGGGAGGGGAGGGAGGGAGGGAGGGAGGGAGGGGAGGGAGGGGAGGGGGAGGGAGGGAGGGAGGGAGGGAGGGAGGGAGGGAGGGAGGAGGAAGGGGAGGAGGAGGAGGAGGAGGAGGAGGAGGAGGAGGAGGAGGAGGAGGAGGAGGAGGAGGAGGGGAGGAGGAGGGAGGAGGAGGAGGAGGAGGAGGAGGAGGAGGATGGGGTGAGGGATGTTGCATGATGCTGCAGGCCTGGCCTCCGCAGTTGCGAGGCACGCACCGCGCCGGCGGTTGAAGCCTCACTCACCCCGCCCCGCCGAGGCGGGCTCCCACCTCCCGCCGCTGCCCGTGGCCGTCGCGGTGCCCTGCGTCGTGGTCGGGGTGGTGCTCCTGGCGGCCCTCGCGCCGCCCCTCGGGCGGGTGCCCCGCCCCCGCGCGTGGCGCGCCAAGGGCTCGGCCGGCGGAGGGCCTCGCCGTGTGCTTGTAAGTCGGGCGTGTCCCTCTGCAGGGGGGATAACCAGAAATAGTCCACAAATGCTCAGAGGACGGTTTTCCTACTATTTTTGATTCTTTTTGAATGTTTTGAGGTATTTTTGGCTTTTCGTTCAAAATCTGCCCGTAGGGGGACATGCCCGACCTAGCCGTGGGCCCTGGGCGTCGCGTGTGCGCTGGTCGTTGGACTCCCAGGCCCGAGGCCTACTTCAAACGCCTTCCTACTTCAAGAGTCGATCTGCTCTTGCTGTGTTTGTTAGTCTCCGGGAGGGCCTGTGCCCAACCTGCTTAATTCCGCCTTCCTCCTTCATGCTGCCCCACCTGACAGGTTGGGGTCATTAGATTTTAGGACAGGCCCCCTGGCCGGACCACCCTACTTACTGCGCCCGCCAGGTCCCCAGGTCCACCGAGTATCCCCCGAGACGCCTGCCTCGCGCCGGCGACGAACACGACATAGCCTGACATAACTGAGCATAGCATAACATAATATAGCATACCCATAACATAACATCCCATGACATACCATAACATAGCATAATGCATCATCACATACCACATAATACCACAACACTGTTATTTCATGGCAAACATGCTACGCCAGCGCGGAGCATACATACCACATCGTAACATCACACATCATAGCATAACGTAGCATGGGAACGCATGCGATGACAGCGGATCGTACGTGATATAGCATCTCAGAGCACATGTCAGCATACCGTGCCATCGCATAATGTGCCATACCATGACATCGCATATCATCACATAACAACACATGCAATGCCAGAGTGCGACATACCGTGGTAACCCATAGAAAACATAACATATCACATCAGCGCACCATACGGTTACATATCATACCATGCCATCACATGCCTTCACACAACACAGCATGCTAACGCATGTTAGGACGTAGCCGAACACACATACCATAACATAGCACGACCCATCATAACAGGGCCCAGCTGACCATAGCATACCATATCATAATCTGCACTAACAGAACTTAACGGAGCAAAGCCGAACTGATCATAACGCAGCAAGCCATGCGATAACATAGCATGCCATACCCACAGCGTCCCATAATAGAGCATGTCATACACTTACACTGCATGTCATGCTGACGCGCGGTATCACATGTTATGACATAGGTGACCATCACGCAGCATGGCAAACCATACCATCACATTTCACGACCGAGCAGAGCGTGCCAGAACGCAGCATCGAGCATAACTTAGTATAACCTCGTAAAGATTGCAACTCAGGTGCTGCAACATTACGTAATGTAGTGCGCTGCAGAGGAATAGCTGGACATTGCACAACAGCAACACACACTGAACATACCACGGCGTAACGTAAACAACATCACACACATAATATCTTATAACATAACCTGACATAACATGCCATACCACGGTGGCACAGAACATACTATGGCATGGTAGATCACATCGCAGTGTGACACGACTGCGCATTTAGAGCATTCTTGAGCAGAAGAGCAACACATGTGAACAGGAGCATCTAACCAGAATATATTGTGTCGCGATCTAATGAACCGCGACGTGCGTGTCGAGGTTCGGCTGGCCACAGGAGCAATCAGGCGCAGCACTGAACGATCGGACGACGTATGCATCGCGACAGGCTTCACGGCGACACGTTGGCCCGCCGAGAACAGAACATACATAATGGAGCAAGCATAAAAGAGCATTGCCAACTCAGCATAGCAGATCGAACAGAGCACACCGCAACCAGCACAACATAGCATAATGGTTGTGCTACTGCTGCCCCTGCGCCAACGATTCACACGTAGTATGGTTGGTTATAACTCCATGGAACGGGTATGCCACAGCAAAGCATATCATGACAACGGCCCGAGCATACCCCAAGCACCACAGCGTACATAACATTTGTGTTATCTCATAGCGTAGAGCCGCAGAGCATGTCGTAGCAACACAGTTCAGAAACTGAGCAGGGTGAGCACAACAGAGCACACACACTAACATACTAATCACCTGCTTGAAGATGACCTGAACACCAAAGTAGGCCATGCCATGCCATAGCCAAACGCGACGTGCTCGCCGAGGTCAGCCCGACCACAGGCGCACACAGGCGAAGCACCGACCGATCGGACGACGCCATCCCTTTTTTCTCCTCTTCGTTGCCCTCCTCCTCTTCCTCCTTCTCCTCCTCCTCCTTCCCTCCTCCTCGTCCTGTCCTCTTCTTCTTCCTCTTCCTTCTCCCACCTTGCCCTTTCCCTCCCCCTCTTCCCCCTCCTCTCCTCCTTGCTCCCCCCTTCTCCCCGCGCCTCCTCCCCCTCCTCTTCCTCACTCTGCGCCCCAGCCGTGCCAAGGCACTTTTAACAGAAGTTCGATGTCATTGTCTTTCCAGCTTGCCCCCGCAGCCGTCGTCGTGCCTCGAGGAAGGAGAGGTCCGCCTCACCTCCTCCACCTCCTCCTCCTTCTCCTCCTCCTCCTCCTGTGTCGTCCGCCTCCTCGTGCTGCTGCTGCTGGTGCTCCTCCTCTTCCTCTTTCAACTGGCTGCATGCTCTCTCCGGACCATTTTGGGGGTCTCGCACGGCGCGTTCTGGGGGCTGATTTGTCGCTGCAGGGACTTGCTCGAGTGTCTTTTGTCGGGGACCCGGGGGCTGTTAGAGTTTCGGGGAACATTCCCTTGCGACCTGGCACGGCCGGCCGCGCTGGCCGAGGCCGCCGGGCCCCCCGCGCACATCGTTCCAATAGGCGCGCGCACCGCTGGGCACAAGCGCCGAAGGTTTCGGTGGGGATCGCTCGAAGCAGCCAATTTTTACCGACTTCTTGTGATCGTTTTCTTACTCATTGTTTTGCCGATTGGCGCGGGCCCTCGCACCCCCCCTTGCCCCCCCATGGAAAGGATCTTGGCGGTTTGTGGCGCCTGTTTCAGGCCTGTGGGGTCTCCCCCATAGGACGCACTGCTGCAAACAGTCGCACTAAGCAGAGGTCCAGAGCCAGACAACCCCCCCCCTTCCCCCCCCCTTCCGCCCAACGCCGAAACGCCGAATCAAAAAAGCGCTCGCCTTCCGACCGACGTGCAATGGGACGGCGATAAAGGTGTGGCGTGGGGGGGGGGCCCTAGGACCAGAGATCGGGACTCGGAATGTGGGGCAGCATCTTTGAGCGGGGGCCGACATTTCGGCCAGCCTCCATCGTAATTGTGGGGGATGCCATGGTCGGGGTCTGTGGGGTGCGGCGAGGCCTGGAACTCTGGATGGGGGCCGCGAACCTTCGCGTTCAGACCCAGACACCTTCCGATCTGATTTCTGAATCCGCGGTCCCAGAGCTTCCCCTGGAGTAGTTTTCCGTCCCGGACCCGTTGTTGACGGCCCCCAGGCCCAGCAACGGTCCCCAGAGGCTGAAATCAAGGAAAGAGCCCCGGGCTCGAAACAACATCATATCGTCGGAGATCTGGGCATCCCTCCCGCCGAGTTCCGCTCGGCCTCCGAGGGGCGTCTTGGCGGTTCTCCTCTGCGTATCCGCCGCCGGACCCTGCCAGCCGAAGCATCGCAGGCCTGGGACAGCTGCCTCCCGCCCGCCGCCGCGCCGCAGTCGTCGTCGTCGTCTTCGTCGCCGCCGCCTTTGCACCACTGTCGTTGTCGTTGTCGTCGTCGTCGTCGTCGTCGTCGTCGTCGTCGTCGTCGTCGTCGGCGTGGTGCTGGTGGTGGTGGTGGTCGTTGTCGTGGTGGTGGTGGTCGTGGTCGTCGTCGTCGTCGTCGTTGTCGTCGTCGTCGTCGTCGTCGTCGTTCCCGCCGACGCCATCGTCGCCGTCGGCGTCGTCGTCGTCGTTGTCCGTCGTCCGAGGTCCGTCGTCTGGGGTTCGCCGCCCCATGTCTGTCAGCGCTCGCCGCCGCCGCCCCCGCCGCCGCGAAGCCGATCGCAACGCCAGCGGCGGCGGCTCCCCCCCCCCCCCGCCGAGGTGCGCGAGCGCGCCGCCGCGCTTCTCGGCGTGGGGCGGCGCGCGCCGCCCTGAGGCGGCGCCCGCCGCGCCTCGCCCTTTGGAGTGGGGTTAAGTCGGGCGTGTTCCTCTACAGGAGGTATATCCAAACATTTTTCAAAATAGTATGGGGACGGTTTTTCCCTACCTAGGGTCTGCCTAGAAGGGTTCTTGCTTTCTTAGCTTAAAGGGGCCGGGCAGTGCACCCCGCCCCGGGCGGTTCCCCCAGTCCCCTGGGAACCAAGCAAAAGCAACAGCACAGGTAAAAGCAAACGCGTGGTTCCCCCCAGTTGCGCTCCCTGGGTGCCAAGCAAAAGCAACAGCAAAGGCAAAAGTGAAGGCAAAAGCGAAGGCAAAGCAAACACATAGCATAGCATAGCATAGCACAGCATAGCATAGCATAGCATAGCGCAGCATAGCATAACATAGCCTAGTCTAGCCCAGCCTATCCTAGCCTAGCCCAGCATAGCATTGCGCCGCATAGCATAGCATAGCATAGCATAGCATAGCATAGCATAGCATAGCGCAGCACAGCATCCACTATTGCTGCTGCTATATATATATATGTACGTAGATGTGTGTGTGTGTGTGTGCGCACGATTCTGCTACAAGATCTGCGACTTGCGGAAGGGGAACCAGTCACGGCGATATGTGTACTACTGGTTATTCGACACAGTCCCTGCGCGCCAAGAGTGGCTCGGGCGACTCCACGACAGCGGGGAGGTTGTGGTCACACCACTTTGGTGAAACCGCATATTCCAGCGCCGATGATGCCCGCCGAAACAATGCTGAACAACTTGTTGCACCGATCTGGGAGTTGCTGCTGCTGTACAGTTTCGTAGGAACGTTCGGTGTAGCAAGTGTTGCACAACCTTGCTCAATGCCAAGTCGTGCGGTGTAGGCCGGGTTCGGAGCATTCTCAAGCACGCCGGGTGGGCGAATGCAAAAACATGCGTGTGTGCGTGTGTCTGTGCGCAGGCAAAACAACAGCAACACCAAGCAAACACTAAAAAGCAAAACAACATCAACAGCAAAAGCACAAGCAAAAGCAAAGGCAAAGGCAAAAACAAAGGCAAGAGCAAAAGCAAAGGCAACGCACAGCAAAAGCAATACCAATGCGAAAGTGTAGATGTAGATGTAGATGTAGGTGTAGGTGTAGATGTGGATGTAGGTGTAGATGTAGATGTAGATGTATATGTAGGTGTGGATGAAGGTGTAGATGTAGATGTAGATGTGAGTATCGCTGTTGATGTAGATGCAGGTGTAGATGTAGATGTAGCTGTAGGTGTATATGTAGACGTAGGACTAGATGTAAATGTAGGTGTCGATGTAGATGTAGGTGTAGACATAGATGTAGATGTCAAGAACTCCCCAGTGCCCCGCCCTCATCTCCGTGCCTGCTTGCTTTTGCTGATGTCTCGGCGACTTGCTGCCTGCTTCTGCTGCTGCTTCACTTGCGGCGTGGCGTCGGCGGTTCTGGCGCTACTACTACTACTACTACTACTACTACTACTACTACTACGACTACTACTACTACTACTACTACTACTACTACTACTACTACTACTACTACTACTACTACTACTAACTACTACTACTACTACTACTACTACTACTACTACTACTACTACTACTACTACTACTACTACTACTACTACTACTACTACTACTACTACTACTACTACTACTACTACTACTACTACTACTACTACTACTACTACTACTACTACTACTACTACTACTACTACTACTACTACTACTACTACTACTGCTACTACTACTACTACTACTGACTACCGCTACGACTACTGCTACCGCTACTGCTACAACTACGACGATGAGGAGAAGGAGGAGGACGGCGTTTACCGCTCCTACTGGCGCTGCTTTCCCCGAGGCTCCAACTCCTAGGTCCTAGGTCGGATCGCGCTGGGATAATTCAACTTTTTGTTCGTATGTTTACAAATATTTGGGGGGTCTTCTCCAGCTGTCGTCCAAAATCTGCCTGAAGGGGTACGCGCCCGACCTGGGAAGGGGGACGGGGCGCGCCGCGCCGGCCGCGCGCTTTCCGCGGCGCGCCGAGGCGTGGCGAGCGACGAACAATATAGAATGAGCTGCTCCGCCGTCGGGGACGCCTTGCCCCTGGCGGCTGGAACGTTTGCACCCCGGCGCGCTGCCCCAGGGGGTCTGGCTCTTCCAGCCGCTCTGCGCCCCGACAGCGGAGCTGCTGATTCCATACGTCGCCCGTCGCCCGCGGAAAGGCGCGGGGCGCCCGCCGCTCCGCGCCCTTCGGGGGGGGGGGGGGGCTCCGCGCCGGCGGCGCTTTGGGGGGGGGTCGATGCCGGGCCGAGGGCGCACTTCCCCGGAGCAAGTTGCTTGAGGCTGCAGCGGGTCCCGAGGAGCGTGCCCTACTCGTTCCAAATACGCGTGCCTGACGCCTTGCCGCAGGTCCTTGCCGCAGGTCCTTCGCAGGCCTTCGCCGCAGGTCCTTCGAAGCTTGCTTTTCGAAGCTTGCAAGCTCTCCAAGCATGCTTCTCGCAAACGTCGGAAAAAATGGGTTTGTCTCGTTGGAATAGATCGTAAATCCACCGCGGCGGATCCAGGCCATTTGCGAGTAGTTACTTTGCGAGTGTTGGAACGCGCTTGTGCACGGAGGGAGGCGGAGGAGGAGGAGGAGGAGGAGGAGGAGGAGGAGGAGGAGGAGGAGGAGGAGGAGAAGGGGGGGGGGAGGGGGAGGGGAGGGGGAGGGGAGGGGGAGGAGGAGGAGGAGAGGAGGAGGAGGAGGAGGAGGAGGAGGAGGAGGAGGAGGAGAGGAGGAGGGAGGAGGAGGAGGAGGAGGAGGAGGAGGAGGAGGAGGAGGAGGAGGAGGAGGAGGAGGAGGAGGAGGAGGAGGAGGAGGAGGAGGAGGAGGAGGAGGAGGAGGAGGAGGAGGAGGAGGAGGAGGGAGGAGGGGCTCCCCCCTCCCTGTGCCGTTCGCCCCCGTCGCCGTCGCCCCCGAAGGCGCGTGCCTCGCCCTCCAGGGGCGGTCCCACCGCGGCGGGCCCTCGCGGCGCAGGCCCCTCCGGGCCGAGGGCCAGACGGGCTCCTGGTCGTCGGCGTGGAGGGCCAGGGTCGGGGGCCTTGAGACGGGCCGTACATGGACATGATATTCGAACCCTGTGGCCCAAGATGCCCCTCATACCCCCCGAAATTGATATTGATGGTGTGGCGACGGGGGGGCTGGGAGCGGACAGAAATATTCGAACCCCACAGGACCGCCTTTACTGAGATCAACATTGATGTCGGGGGCGCAGGGGTGGTTTAGAATCTCCCTCGAGTGTGTGAGGGTTCGAATATATTGTCCATCTACTGGGGGTCAATTTTAAGTCGGGCCTGTCCCTCTACAGGAGGAATTATTAAACAGTAGGCAAGACAAATTGTCCGGGGACGATGTTTCGACCAGTTTCGACCATGTGGGAGTTTGTTGTTGGACTATCTGTTATGTTTATTTCAAGATCCCCCTGTAGGAGGACACGCCCGACCTAAGGTCAATGCAAACGGGGGTCAACCAGAGCGCCGGATTTGACAGAATCCTGCAGGGCCAGGATCGCACTGACCCGGGCTTGGGCGCAGGCTCCTGCAGGAGTTCGCAGGATCCTTCGCATTGGCCAGGGGCTTGGGCGCAGGATCTTGTAGGATTCTGCAAGGCCTGACTGACCCGGGTCTGAATGGACCCGGGTCAGAAGATCCCCGACAGGGTGAAGTCGGGCCTGTCCCCATACAGGTGGGATATGCAGAAGTGGTCAACAGACAGTCTGGGGGCGCAGTTTGGAGCATTTGTTGGCCATTTTTGCTTATTTTTGGGCGCTTCTGCATTTGTCGTCCAAACTTACCAGCCTCGAACGTATCCCTATCCCTGAGATTGACACGACAAAAGGCGATGACAATCTTAGGGAGTCGCCCTCAAAAAATGAGGGAATCCCTGAGATTGGCATCGTGATGAGGAGGTGCCCAGCATAAGGATGGGGATATGTTCCAGGCTGGTAACAAACTCTCCCTGTAGAGGAGGACCTGCCCGGCCCAAGGCCACCGGGGGTCTCCTGGAGGTGCCTCGCCGCGCTCGGCCTCTCCCCCGGCCCGCCCTGCCGTGAGAGGAGCCTCGCGCAGCGCGGGGGCCCACCCAACGGGGCGGTGGCCACGCCGTGCGGCGAGTCGGTGGGGATCTTCGGGGTCACCGACCGGTGGTGGTGGGCACGCGGGTCGCTCTCCGAGGACGTCTCGGGTCTCACAGGGGCCTCCAGGGTCCCCAAAACCGTGCGGTGACGGACCGTGCGGTGAGGTCTTGGGGGATCTCGAGGTCACCGCACGGTGTGTCACCGTGCCGCTTCGGGACTCCAGAGTAGCGGAGAGAGTGCACGGCGGAGGGTTTTTCATGCTTGCAGTCTTGGGCCTCCGGAGGCCCCTCCCCGGGCCGCCAGGCCGCCCAGGAACAAGTCGGGATGAAAGGCTGGTTTCCAGGAAGAGGTCCAGAGAGTCCAGGCTTCCCTTGTGAGTTTTGGGGGTATCCCGATGCCTGGTTTCCTGGGGCCCTCCCCAGGCTTGGGGGCCGTCAGGAAACGACCCGAGTCACCATGCGGACGCAGCCACGGATGCCCTGGGTGGAGCTCCCTATGGGGCCACGAAGCGTGTGAGGGGCGTGCCAGATTGGACCCGAGTCACCGTGCGGACGCAGCCACTGGGGCCGTGGGTGGATCTCCCTGTGGATGGGGCCACGAAGCGTGTAAGCTGGGTTGGAGGCTGGGCTGGCGCGTGCAACGCCGCGTGTTTCTGATGCCATTCCCCTTTCGGAGTGGTCACTGCCTGGAAACAACTTGCTGGAAATCCTGCCCTTGCTTCACTTCGGGCCCCGGCACCGGACGAGGGCTCCGCGCTGCCATGCCAGACCCCCAGCCAGCGTCGACGCACTCCGTGCGCGCGCGGCGAGCATCGGGGGACAGGCAAAGCACGCCCACCGTGCGTTGGACAAGGGCACCCGCCGTGAATGTGTAACATGCCACGGGC